TGTGAGATAATTTACCCCATTCTACCTCTCCCTTTCTTCTTCTCTGAATATAATCCTCTCATCCCTTAATTTTATTCTCCAGATATGACCCCTTAATCTTCAACTCACCCTGTACCCTCTATCTATCTATCTATCTATCTATCTATCTATCTATCTATCTATCTATCTACTATACATATATAATTTTTTCCTCCAACTACCCTAATACTGACAAAGGTCTCATGAGTTATAAATATCATCTTTCCATGCAGGAATGTAAACAGTTCAACTTAATAAGTCTCTTATGATTTCTCTTTCCTGTTTACCTCTTCATGTTCCACTTGAGTCTTGTATTTGAAAGTCAAATTTTCTATTCAGCTCTGGTCTTTTCATCAAGAATGCTTGAAAGTCCTCTATTTCACTGAATGACCATTTTTTCCCCTGAAGGATTATACTCAGTTTTGCTGGGTAGGTGATTCTTGGTTGTAATCCTATCTCCTTTGCCCTCTGGAATATTATATTCCATGCCCTGTGGTCCTTTAATGTAGAAGCTGCTAAATCTTGTGTTATCCTGATTGTGTTTCCACAGTACTTGAATTGTTTCTTTCTGGCAGCTTGTAATATTTTCTCCTTGACCTGGGAACTCTGGAATTTGGCTACAATATTCCTAGGAGTTTTCCTTTGGGGATCTCTTTCAGGAGGAGATCTGTGGATTCTTTCAATTTCTATTTTGCCCTCTGGTTCTACTATATCAGGGCAGTTTTCCTTGATAATTTCTTGAAAGATGATGTCTAGGCTCTTTTTTTGATCATGGCTTTCAGATAGTCCAATAATTTTTAAATTCTCTCTCCTGGATCTATTTTCCAGGTCAGTTGTTTTTCCAATGAGATATTTCACATTGTCTTCTATTTTTTCATTCTTTTGGATTTGTTTTACAGTGTCTTGATTTCTCATAAAGTCACTAGCTTCCAATTGCTCTATTCTAATTTTTAAGGAAGTATTTTCTTCAGTAATCTTTTGGACTTCCTTTTCCATTTGGCCAATTTTTCTTTTTAGGGCATTCTTCTCCTCATTGGCTTTTTGGACCTCTTTTGCCATTTGGGTTAGGCTATTTTTTAAGGTGTTATTTTCTTCAGTATTTTTTTGGGTCTCCTTTAGCAAGCTGTTGACTTGTTTTTCATGATTTTCTTGCATCACTCTCATTTCTCTTCCCAGTTTTTCCTCTACTTCTCTTGCTTCTCAAAATCCCTTTTGAGCTCTTCCAAGGCCTGGGACTGATTCATATTTTTCTTGGAGGCTTTGGATGTAGGAGCTTTGACTTTGTTGTCTTCTTCTGGTTGTATATTTTGATCTTTGGTCACCAAAGTAAGATATTATAGTCTAACTCTTTTTGCCCTCCTTGCTCATATCTCAGCCAATTACTTGAGTTTTAAACTCTTTGTTAAGGTAAGAGTCTGCTTCCAATGTGGAGAATGTACTGTCCCAAGCTTCGGGGTTTATATAGCTGTTTTCAGAGATACTTGTAGGGACCTGTAAATTTTCAGTTCTTGCAAGGTGGTATGATAAGGGGCGAGGTGTTTACTCCTTTCCTGGCCTGTGCTGTGGTCTATTAGTGACCACAAGCACTCTTTTCTGTCCTGGAACTGTGAAGAAGGTTTCCTGTCTACAGCCACTACAAGCTCCACCACGCCAGCTCTCCTCCTCACCCCAGGACCCCCATCCAGAACTGTGACCTAGTTCCAAGCACGGGCAAAGCAAGAGATTCCTGCCTCAGCACCAGCAGAGAGATCCCTGCAATCCCCCTCTGATCAGCCACTTGATTCCCCCTCAGTCTGTGGGCCTGAAGCTCGAGAAGCAGCTGCCTACCCCAGGGCCGCATTCTCAGGGAACTGGAGCTGAGACCCCACCTTCCTCTGTCAGCACCACAGAAACAGACTTTCCCCACTGACCTTCTAAGTTGTCTTTGGCATTTTTGGATTGAGGAGACTGGAAACCAACACAGCTGCCAGTGATTCAGTCCTCTGAGGCCTGCTCCAGGTTCGCTGCAGCCTGTGCACCCACACCAACCTGCGCTGCACTCCCAGCCTGGCGTGATATACCTTTCTGATCAATCATCCAGGTTGTCTTGGGCTGGAAATTTGTTTCACTCTGTCTTTTTGTGGGTTCTGCTGCTTCAGAATTTGTTTAGAGCCATTTTTTATAGGTATTTGGAGGGGTTTGTGGGGGAGAGCTCAAGCAAGTTGCTGCTTTCACTCCACTATCTTGGCTCCGCTCCCCAATTCTAGCTTTTAACAGATTATTTTCTTCTGTTAGTTTTTGTACTTCCTTCTCCAATTGGCCAATTGTATTTTTAAGGGATTTGTTTTCTTCAGTGTACTTTTTTTTTTCCAGTTTTCCAGTTGTGCTTTTTAAGGACTTGTTTTCTTCAGTGTACTTTTTCCCCAATTGGCCAATTGTATTCTACCTCTCTCATTAGACTTTTAAAATCCTTCTGGAGCTCTTCTAAGAAGGCTTTTTGGTCTTCAGACAAGTTCATATTCCCTTTTGATGTTGCAGATGTGGGTTTGTTGACAATGTTGTCCTCTTCAGAATTTCTGTCTTGATCTTCACTCTTCTCATAATATGAATCTATGGTACGTTTCTTTTTACTCATGGTGTTTCTTTTATTCCCTGGCCTTTAAAGAGATTGAGCTCTCCTGCTGAGGAACAGAGGGCACTGACCCAAGCCTCCTGTGTTGGGAGCCTAGGTCTTGGTCACTGGCTTTGTGTGCTGGGGCCTCTTATGTTGGCAATTGGAGGCTGTAGAGTTGTGGCAGCTTACCTCGTGTTGGGCTGGAATCAGCAAGGCTGGAACTTTCAGGCAATTCTAGGTTGCCTTCTTTTCTTTTCCTTTAGCTTTCTTCAGCTCCTTTTAGATGGGTGCTGCAGGGTATTTATCTGCTTGGGGCCCCTTGCAGTGCTGTCTCCCTTGTCTCTGATAATGCACTGGGAGATTCCTTTGTGGTAGAGTGCCAAGGCACCTGGTGGTTTTCTGAGCTGGTTTCCACCAGTCCTCTCCCACTTCTCCCCTGGGCTTCAGGACCTCTTCCTGGTTGACAGTTAGAGGTTCTGACAGCTTACTTGGTGTTGGGCTAGAATCAGCAAGGCTTGGACTTTAGGAAGACTTTAGGTTGCTTTCTTCAGCTCCTTTCAGATGAATGCTGCAGGGTACTTATCCGCCTGGGGCCCTTTGTAGTGCTGCTTCATTTATTTTTGCTGGGGCACTAGGAGACCCGTTTGCTGGGCTGCTGCACTGCTGTGCCCCATCTTTCTTCTAGTTCAGCTGTTTAGGGTTTTTTTTTTCTGGGGTAATATTTTTTGGGTTTTCAAAGGTTGATAGGGGAGGGTGAGAGAGACTACCTTTTTACTCCGCCATCTTGGCACCTGGACCATGTTGTTGTCCTTTTCAAAGAGGACTAATGACATCATGCAGTGATGTCTTGACTTGCCATGAATTAGATTTAAGTCAGACATAGTTGCACGAAGTCATTTGCCTCACTCTGTCTTCAAGAGTCATCGAAGTCCAGTGGCAGCACAAAAGTCAAGATGATGACAATGTCCCAGGATGTAGTGGATGACCTTGGCGTCTTTGATATCTGACCAAGCTCTAAATGCCCCGTAGTGCTTGCTTCCATTGCCTTCATGGTTATTGGAACAAATTGTTCTCATCCACCTGTTCTACCAGGGGAAGTCTTCAGGGCTAGACATCCCTCTAACTCACTGACAGATCTGAGGCCTGTTGGTTACTCTCAATCTGATTTAGCCCATCTGTCAAGACAGTTTACCATTGTGTGGCCACTAAGCATACTACAGCTTCTTGGAGCCACAGGTGAGAGTTGGGTGACATGTGGACATCAAATGTGGATGATGAACCCTGCAAAGGGCTTAGGAAACCCTCATGCCAGAAGTGCTACTCCTCCCTAAACTGGGTAAGCTCCCATGGACTATAATACTTTTTTTTGGTTTTGTTTTGTTTTTTTGCTAGGCAATGAGGTTAAGTGACTTGCCCAGGGTCACACAGCTGGTAAGTGTTATGTGTCTGAGGCTGGATTTGAACTCAGGTTCTCCTGAATCCAGGGCTAGTGCTCTGGCCACCTAGCTGCCCCTTGGACTATAATATTTGAGGGGAAGTCAGGGCAGGATGGATGGGAGATAGTCAAGAATTAAATTCTATAGACAAAAAAATGAAAGGCAAACAATGCCAATGGAAAGGAAAAATGGTATTTGTCTGGAGAAACCAATATGGATGTGCAAGCAGTTCATAAAACAACTTGGACTTTAAAAATAAACATAGAGCAGATGAAAGCCAGGCCAGGTCACAGAATTTTCAGGACCTTCACCATGACCTTGATTCTGAAATAGCAGATCAGGGTTTAGAATACAGTCTCTAGCACTTATATATAATTTTGTTGGAAGGCAGGTGAGCTATTTAAAGGGATTGAGTTAAAAACTTTGGCCTTAAGATGAAAGCAAACATACAGTAGGTAAACTGAGGTAGGGCATTGACATCATGAATGGACAGTAATTCCTTAGCCAAGTGTTTACAGTTCTGCAAAGGGACCTACTAGCTTTGTGACCTTGGGAAAGTCACTTTACATCTGCAGACCTCAGTTTCCTCATCTGTCATATGAGATGGGTAGATCATAGGACCACAGATTTAGAACTGGAAGTGACCTTAGAAGTCATCTTATACAACTGCCTCCTTTTAAGGATAAAGTAACAGTCATGGAGAGATGAGTGACCTGTCCAAGGCCAGAGCAAGGATCTGAATCTAGGTCCTCTGACTCAAAAGCTGCGACTCCTTTCCCTGTGCCTCATTGTTTTAAGTCTCTTCCAACTTTGGGTCTGAATTACTTTAATTGAAAAATAACAAAACAGACACAAGTACAGTCAAGGATAGTGTATAGCATTAAATCTACATTGACCATAAACAAATATAGTCAACCATTTTGAAAATACCAAAAGACAACATGACACATGCCAAGTGTTTATAAAATGTTTTATTTATTTTCCAATGCAAGTACTGGTTTGCAGACTGCCAGGACTGCTCGGTAAGAAATGCTCATCAGTCCACAGCTTCTGAGAGGTGTTTCACTGGATGACTGTTATTCATGGCAGAAAAGTGGCATTTAAAAAAAAATACTAATTACTCTTAAGCTGCAGGGAAGGAGCGTCACTGAGACGGGGTTGAAACTGTTATCCAGCTTCCCCACCAGCAAGGAACAGCTTTGTGAAAATTGGTTTCAGGTCCTTAAAATGGGAGTTGGGAGGGGGATTAGGGAAGGGTGGGGAGAAGAAGGGGTGTGTGTGTGTTGTGTGTGTGTGTGTGTGTGTGTGTGTGTGTGTGTGTGTCTAAGTCCAATCATAATTGTCACACAATTTCCAATCTGGGTTGAAATACATTCACTCCTCAGTCACCTCCTAATGACATGTAAAGAGGAGCTGGGACAACGGTGGGGGAGAGATTCCTACGACACTAGTAGGTATAGCTGGGAGTGAAAAGGGACTGGCTGGCAGCAGAACCAGATGAGCCTGAATGAACGTACTGCCCTTTGGCTGCCTGGCAGTTTGCCTGAAACACAAGAAGAAAGGGCCCCTTGGTTAATTAAAAAAAAAAAAAGCCCAGGTGTTTGTCCATGTTTATCAATGCCTGTCCTGAATCTCTTTTTTCTCTTCCTTTAGAGTCCTTAACTTTGGTCTATACAGCTTAATAATAATAAATAATAATAATAATAACTGGCATTTGTACCCCACTTTAAAGTTTGCAAAGCACCTGACATATGCTCTTATTTAATCCTTACAACACAAGCCTGTGAGGTAGATGCTGTTATTATCTCTGTTTTACAGATGAGGAAACTGAGTTGAAGAAGTTAAATGACTTGCCCGAGGTCACCCAAAGTCAGGGTCAAGATTTGTACTCAGATCTCCCTGACTCCAAATCCAAAATTCTATCCATTGCATCACCTCATTGCTTCATTACTATTATTTGCTGCCGCTCTATGAGCCACTTTCTCGTTCCTCATTCCCTTGACAGCAGACTCATGTTCTATCTTATGACCTCTGACATCCTTCTATGTAACTGCCACATTCCTGCTGATGACCACACATCTTACCTTTTGCTTGCATCTTCTCTGTTCTTGACTCTCAAGACCTCCATCTGTATTTCATTATCACTGGACTCACTCCCTGGACCTCACCATCACAGAACACAGCTCCCCCTTAGATTTCTCCAACTTGGGACTCCCTCTGGCCATCACAGCCACTTTATTTTCTGCCTCTATAATTCACCAAACCTAAATTGCTAAACTAGCACTTGGTCCTCACTATGACTTCCCTCTGGGTTCTCGATTCAGAGTAGAAAGAATAATGGATTTGAGGTCAGAAAACCTGAGTTCAAATCCCAGCTCTTCTGTTTACTACCTATGTGACTTTAAGTAAGAACTTTGGGGCCTCAGTTTTTTCATATGTGAAATAAGGGTTGAACTAAACAGTGTATAAGGTCCTTTCCAGCTTTAAATGCTATGTGCCTAGGGTCCATTAGCCTTCTTCTGCCTCTGCTTGACTACCTATCTAGTCTAGACTCTAGTGATCAGCCACCTCATAAAGTCTTCACTAACACTCCAAACTCCCTTGCTCTCTTTAACCTTCCACCAGGTCTGTTGTGCCAGTCCCCCAAATCACTCCCGTTTCCACTTTGCTTTTAGGTTCATGTGCAATGCCAAGCATTGCTAAGGATGTCAAGAACTATTTTGGCGTGTTACAAATCACACTGTAAATTACAGTTGGAAGGCAGAAGAAATAGCCTGGCCAGGAAAAGAAGAGAGCTGGCTTCCTCACCTGAGCCCTCTTCACAAATGCCTCCTGGGTTGCCTTCCTGTTTGCAGCCTTGCCCCCCCAGGCAGCAAGTGCACTGGCCTGCAGGGCTCGTCCATAGGAGAAACTTAGCTTCCAGGGCTTGGGCAGTGGGCAAAGGTTGATGGCATTTAGATTGAGAGTGGCATCTTCTTCACTCATGCCTCCAGATAGAAAGCAGATGCCTGGAAGAAGAGAAAAACCTTGAAGATGAGAGCTGAGCCCAACTAGCCATCACTCACAGGGTTTGGTGGAAGTTGGGCAGTGTCATGCACACATACAAAAGTGAATGCATACTGTCTCTCCATTCCTTTTTTGCTTGATTTATGTGTGAACTATAATATTTGCTGGAGGAAGATGTATGTACTGTGTTGGCTTGGAATATGAGGGATTCTAGAATTTGGGGATAACTGGATAGAGATAGACTTAGCTCATTTTTGTATTCCCCACAGCACCTAGTACAAGGCTCTGTACACAGTAGATATAGTAAAGGTTACTTGAATTGAACAATATTTGAATGGAATGGAATATTATAGAATATTATTATTCCATAAGAAATGGCAAAAGGGATGGTTTCAGAGAAACCTGAGAGGACTTGTATGAACTGATAGAAAGGGAAATGAATAGAACCCAGAGAACAATTATACAATATCAACATTGTAAAGAAAAACAATTTTGAAAGACTTAAGAATTCCAATCGATGAATTGGCCAACCATGATTCCAGAGGCCTGTGGAAGACACATGGTACCTACCTTTTGACAGAGAGGTGATGCCATCAAGGTTCAGAATGAGACATACATTTTGGGACATGGCCAATGTGGATAATTGCTTTGGTTGACTATGTGTATTTGTTATGAGCATTTTGCTTCGTTTTGTTTTCCATTTGTGGGGTATATGGTTTGAGATATCATTGCCAACTCTTGAGAAACGATTGTGACGGAAGGACTCTAAGACTCTTTCAGAAGCAGGAATAAAGAGGCTGAGAAGAAGCCAGACCGACTGGGGCCTGGGGTACATGACAATCTGCGAGAGAATTAAAGCATTTACCTGGAACAGCAGCAGGGACCGTTCGGTGGAGAGTTGTGACAGTGGCCAGAGCCACTTGTTCAGGTGTGTACTTCTTGGTGCAGGCATGTCCAGCTGTCACCATGTTGGGCTTCAGTAGTGTTCCCTCCAAGTAGACATGGTGGTCATTCAGGGCCTTGTAGACAGCGGCCAGGACCTAACGAAGGTGGAGAGTGAAAGGGAATGACGAAACTATTTTGGTTTATCTTCGGCACTCTCCTTACATTATTCTACATTATCCTTACATTATGCTACATTGTAGCACTTCCCATTCTCCTCTACAACTAACTTGTCCTGTAACAACTGGGACATGAATTCTTCAATAACTTTTAGTCCCAACCAGCTCAGAGATAATAATAATAGCTAAAATTTATATAACACTTATTATGTGTCAGGTCCTGGGCTAAATCATTTAGCTTTAAAATTATTATCTCACTTCATCCTCACAATAATCCTGGGAGGAAGGTATTGTTATTATCCTCATTTTACAAATAAGGAAACTGAGGCAAATAGAGGTTAACCAGGGTCACATAGCTAGAGTCAGAGGCAGGATTTGACTGCCCACTCCTGAGTGACTTACAAACATAACGCTACTCACTATGCCTTATTGCCTCTATGAATTCTACCCTATAACAGTTGAGTGGTCAAAAAATCATAGCATACCAGAGCATAAAGCTGGGAGACATCTTAGTTTATCCCTTTCATTTTACAGATCAAGAAATTATAGCGTAGAAAAGGGACGTGACCTATTCAAAGGCTCTGCCTTTCTTTTGTCCTCTCTCTTTTTCTCCCCCTTGTTTTCTCTCTATTCATTATGGTTTTCAAACAGATTCCTTTAAAAGCTGCCTCCTCCAACACACCCATCTCTGTCTATGGGTTTAGGGTAGCCCCTGCCTTAGGTTAAGAAAGTTGGAAAATTATACATTTGCCCTGAGAAGGATAAATTTGGCAAGGGCAGCTTTAGTTTTTGCTGACTGTTCTCAAAACAAAAGAAGTCCTTTTCTGGACTACCTAAATTATTTAAAGTGTATTTTGATAGCAGTGAGAGCATTTCCCTCACAGCCGCAGATTACCTTCTCAGAGACGTACTGGCAATGCTCAAGGTCATGATCTCCATCAGGGATGACTTCTGGCTCCACAATGGGGACTAGTCCATTCTGAAAAGGGAACAGAAGAGATGAAAATTAGGTTGCCCTTTCCTACAGCCCTTTCAGTGAGTGGAGAACCAGTGAAACCAATCGGTATATGATGAAGCTCCTTTGTGGAAACAAAATAGCTGGGTGTGTGTGGAACAACAAATGTAGGAAAAACTCAACAGAGTGAAAATGATCTCCCCTTAGAATAAGTGAAAAGAGAAGGAAATAGCTTCTAAGCTCTAGATTTTATTGCTTACCTGCTTGCTATAGGCCTCTAATGACAACTTTTGGGGGGTACTTAAAAACAATGCCCCCCAAGTTGGATGAGGGCAAATAAAAGTCTTCATTGAGTGTTTGTGAGCCTGACGGGAGAGGGCTCTAGAAAGATGAGACCTTACAGCTTCAATCACTATTGGGCAGTATCCAGAAGCAAATGAGACAAGTAGGAGTCCAGACAAGCTGTCATGCACACCAGTAGCCTCCAAAGCGGTTCTGACACTAACCTACTCTCAGGTGATACATACTGACATCCCATCTCCCCTCCTTTGATTATAAGCTAAGTGACTGCAGAGCCTATCTTTAAATTTTTAGTGCCAAACATAGTGTCTTAATAATAATAGCCAGCACTTACATAGGGCTTTACAATTTGCAAAGCACTTTACAAATATTTCATTTTAACCTCGTAACAACCCTAGGGGTATATGTTAGCATTATCCCCCACTTTACAGATGAGTTAAACAGGTTAAGTGACTTGCCTAAGGTCACACAGCTAGCAAGTGTCTGTGGCCAGATTTGAACTCAGGACATCTCGATTCCAAGTCCATACTCTATGCACTGCATCTTGCACATGGTTGGCACCTAATACACATATGTGTTGCAGTTTAATTGAATTATACATGACTTAGTCTGGACTCAAAACACCCATCAGGAGCTGAGAAAGATTGAGCACAGCCGAAGACTCTTGTAGCTAAAGGAGAGAGCCCTCTTACAGCTTGGTGGCCTTCATGCTAGGCTGCAGGTCTCAATCAGCTCCCTATCACTCTTGCCTACAGCAAACTTCATAGTGAAATCTGAAAAGCAGTTGGATGTTGATTGGCTGTGGCATTAGGAGAAGAGTGCCCAAGTGTGGTGAAATGGTATTAAAAATGAAAAAGGAGCCAGATATGTTTATGCATGGCAGTCATCCCTGCTGCTGGAGAAGCTGAGGCAGGCAGATCATTTGGGTTAAAGGATTCCAAGCTACAGGAGGGCTAAAGTCTACTGGAGGGCCACCAGCATGAAGGGTGACCTGCCTCAGCTTAGATGAACAGAGAAGGTCAAGGCTTTCATGCCAATCGGTGTTGGGATCAGGCCTGTGAGTGGCCCCTGTACTTCCAGCCTAGGCTAGAGAGGAGACCCAATGTCAAAAGAAAGAAGGAAATTTTTAAGTGAGTTTCTTAGCCTGACAGAAAAAAAAATGTACTTAAATTTTTAGAGCAATATGTTGAGGGAAAGGACACACATATGTAAAAATACTTGTAGCAACTTTTTTTTTTGGTAGTGGCAAAGTGGAAACTAAGGTAGTTCTTAGCAATTGGGGAGTGGCTGAACGAGTTACGGAATATAAAGGTAATAAAATACTATTGTGCCATAAGAAATGAAGAAAAGCATGGTTTCAGAGAAACATGGAATGATTTCTATGAAATGATACAGAATGAAGTGTGAAGAACCAGATCAATTTATATAATAACAAACATGGTATAAAGACAACTTTGAAAGACTTTAAAAATTCTGATCAATGCAATGATGCACCATGATTCCAGAGGACCAAAGGGGAAGCATGGTGCCAACTTATTAATGGTGCAGGTGGATTCATGGTGCAGGATGATACACACACACACACACACACACATGTATATATGTGAGTCTGTGTATATATATATGTATGTATGTATGCATTTGCAGATGACTGACCAATGTAATAATTTCTTTTCCTTGACTATGCATATTTTCTATAAGGGTTTTGTCAGGCCTGTGAGTGGCCCCTGTACTTCCAGCCTAGGCTAGAGAGGAGACCCAATGTCAAAAGAAAGAAGGAAATTTTTAAGTGAGTTTCTTAGCCTGACAGAAAATAGTGGGGGCAGGAAGAGAAATGAGAGAGAGAAAAAACAGATTTTTGTTTTTTGCTAAATGAAAAAATATAATTTAAGAAAAGTATATTGAAAATGGAGGAAGAAGGGGCCTTATGAAAGCCATCATTCAAACTGAAAGGCACTAATATTCCTCTGTAAAGGCAGGACTCTAGAGGGCTCCTTCTCCTAAATCCAGAGTCTCAATTGTCACGCACATGAGTAAGAGATCCCTCTAGCAACTGTCATTATGATTTATCATGTGTTGCCCAGCAAGAATGAGGTTGTCATTCTGCCTTTAAACCTTTAGGCTTCTTCAGAATGAGGGACGTGAAACCTGGGAAAGCTGTCATAGGACACCAGTGTCTATGGGAGGCCTAGAGCAATACCTGTTGGCAGATGCTGGCATAGCGGGCCAGCGCATTGGCATTCTCCTGGATGGCCAGGCTGGAGGGACACTGGTCAGCGATCTTCAGCACAGCCCGCCACTTCCCAAAGTCAGCACCATCCTTCTTGTACTGGGCACAGCGCTGAGAGAGTCCATCCAAGCCTGCAAACCACAAAATGGGAAAAAAGCCTTCTCTGAGAAGCTGCTTTGGTGCATGGAGCGTCTAATTGGGAGGCCTAGGGGCTGGAAGTAGCCATTTGGCATCTCATCCTCCATTGCTAGCTCCTTGGCTTCTCCGAACTCAGGATACATTCCCCTGTCCCTGCTCTCTGAGCTCAGTCTTCTCTTTGTGGCTTATATGCCGAAATGTCTAAGCAATTAAGTTGCATATGACACAGATGGTGCTGTCCACACTCTCAATGCCTTTAGCCAAGCCTTAAAGAGTTTTAAGGGCAGGTACAAAAATACAGTCATTTTGGGTTACTCCTGCAAAAAAAAAATGCCCTCTTGACCCCAGCTGCTGGGGAATTTGTGTTTTGGAATGGTATGGGAATGCACAAATTCAGGTAATCTATACATCTAAGCAACCAGCCTGGGGTCAAGTCCAAGCCCTAGCATGTATTAGCCACTTGACATTAGGCAAATTCTCATTTGCAAAATAAACGTAACAGCACTCGTTCTTCCTATCTCACAGGACAGCTGTCAGGATCAAAAGTGAGACTTGATATGACTTTAGCAGATGAGGAAACTGAGACCAAGAAAGATGAAGTGACTTTCCAAAGGCCATATAGGTAGTAAGTGGAAGAGCTAGGATTCAGTAACAGTCCTAGACTTGCTATCAGGTTCAAAGGAGATTTTATGCACAAACACACACACACACAGATCTGTATTGGTATATACATATATACACAGATACACACATGTACATTTGTATGTATTTATAGATACACATACCTACATGTGTATATGTATTATAAATGTGGATTATCACATATGCACATATATCTGTATACATACATATTAAACAATAGCTCAAAATTAATAACCTAAAAGTTAAGTAACAGCTGAAACTAATTAATATTATATACCCATTATGCACATATCTGTATGTTGTATGTACATATACGTACATAAAGTTTACAAAATTATATGTTATATGTGTATACATATATACACACAGATATGTATACTCCTATCCAATCCAAATATATAACACATATAATTTCATAAACTTTAAAGTGCTACAGAAATGTTAATTATTTGAACTATTACTTAACTTTTCATGGTTTTATATCTTGTCTGTTCTATTTAATTATTTTTATGGGCAGTTGTATGTTATTCATCTTTGTGTCCCCCACAAAGCTTAGCACAGGGCTTTGTCCCTAGTGGCTGCTCAATCAGCATTTGTTGTTTGGACTTTTGCTGGTACAAGAACTCCTCAGGTGTTTTGTAAATGTTAGCTGGTTGTGTTTCTACCCTTTGCTCTGATTCGCCTTGTTGCATATCTCACACGTGCAGGGATGCTCCATCACAGGAAGCAATATTCTCACCTTGAATGGCGGTTTCTCCATTTGTTCCTGCCAAGGGAGCACCACCTTGGTCCAGCTGCAAAAAAGAGATTATGAACATTCAGCAGATGCCAAAGAGTGAAGATGGCAAAGATCCTGACTTTCTCAATTCAGAGCTATTCTCATGGCAAGACTCTCCCTAACCAAGGGCACTGCATTATGAGATGATGTTTGTATAAGAAGGATGAATATAGAAATTAAAGTATAGGAGGTATTGGCTGTAAGGAGTATACAGGAGTCTTGTGCTAGAGAAGGTATTCAATCTTAGGTGGTGGCCAATATACAAACCTGGGATTATGGAGATACTGAAAAGAGTTAGGAGAGCTTTGGAGAAAAGACCAGGAAGGGCTAGGCAGGGGCCGGGAACCTGTGGCCTGAAGGCCACATGTAGCCTTCTAGGCTGTTGGTTATGGCCTTTTGACTGAGTCCAAGTTTTACAGAACAAATACTTTTATTAAGGGGATTTGTTCTGTGAAGTTTGGATTTGTACTTGAGGGCCTAGAGGGCCACATGTGGCCTTGAGGTCACAGGTTCCCCACCTCTGGGCTAAGGAAAGAACAGATTTTGTGGGACTAGAGGATAACATAAGATAGGAGAAGAAATTATATTTGAAGGGTTTGCTTGACCTCAGCATTACCCCAGTATTTCATATAGGGAGAGCCATAAACATTTTGGATTCCAGCATAAGTGATGTGTTTACTAGGTGCACTGACCTTGATTCCCACCACGATTCCCTTTTCCTTGAGGATGTCTCTGAACCACTTTCCCTGACTATCCTTCTGATAGAGAGTCTCATGGAAAAGGATCACACCCCCAATGCTCTGGCTGATGGATTTGTCCACAGAGAAGAGGATTTCTCGGAACTGACGGCGGTTTTCTTCCGTGTTCTCTACCTTGATCCTCTGCAGGCGATTGCCCATGGTACCTAAAACAGGGAGCAAAATATGGAAGATGGGGAGAAGAATGCGTCAAAATGGTATCTGAGACCAATCAGAATAAACAACAAGGGGTAATGTGACTTTTATACCTAACTCCCTAGAGCTTCATTGAGGCGGTACAGCAATAATGGACAAGGTTCTGGGCTTGGAATCAAGAAGCCCTGGGTTTGAATTCCACCTCAGACATTTACTAGCTATGTGTCCCTGAGCAAGTCACTTGACCAGTCATTTTCCTCCTTTATAAATTAAGGATGCTAATATCTATGGCACTTGACTCACAGGGTTGTTGTGAGATCATATATGTAAAGTACTTTGCAAACATTAAAGCACTATATAAATGCCAAAGGTCTTTTTGACCTAGAAATCTTAAAACTTCGAACACTCCATGAAAAGGACACACTAATGAATCCCAGTCAAGACCCAGTAGGGGAGCAGGTAGGCTGGGCACGAAGAGTTGAACCTGCCAGCCAGGGTCGGGTGGGTGATTATTTGCTGCTAGCTACAAGCAGGTATTTAAGACCTCAGCATTCATTACTGGTTGAACAAACTGGCTCCTGTGATAAAAGGATTACTGAGTTGGGTTCAATGATTGACTTGAACCTCACTTTCTGTTTGTTGCATTTTCTCCCCTGCTCCCATTTCAGATTTCTGTACTTCTGACTCCAGCTTGGTAACCTGGTCCTGACTCCAAATTGCTCACTTTGCTTAATAATTTGCCAGTGAACTTTACTCTAGTAGATCTGGAAGTAAGGAAGTAAAGAAGTTTTAAGGAAATTATTAGCCCAGCAGAGAAGGCAGTATATATGAACCCAGGTTGAGGGTGGGGGGCAGAAGAGGCAGTGGAAAGAATACACCCTTCATAGTATTCTGTTCAAAGAGACATACAGTACTTGAGGAGAAGAAGAAGGAAATGGAGGACAAAAAATATTCACAAAACTATATAGTGCTTAGGATTGGTGGGGGTGGAAGGACATAGAGAGGGCTCCATCACAGCAAAGGTACGAGACCATGGGGAAGGTGGAAGGATGAGTATTCCTGGCTGTCTTTTTCCTTTTGCAGATTAGTATTTCATTTGCCCCCTGAGTTTCCTACTGTCAAGGAGAGAGGTGGGTTTTGTACGTCTGGGTCTGCTGCTGAGCTGCCTGAAGTACTGAGGTATGATCTGTAAGCAAGTGTGTGCCCCAGTGTCAACAGATACTGCTTCTTTGGTTTATACCTTCCGAGATCTCTCCTTCTTGCCCTGCACAGGGCATGTTTAAGAAGGTCTAGGAGCCTGATAATCAGGTGCTATTGAAGGGAAGGTCAAGGAATCTGATGGAGACCAGCCTTCTTACATGACAAGACAATGGAGTCTGGGCTCCTTCACTCTTAAGTTCCCCCATAAGCCTTTATGTGAACAACTTTACTCTGAGGGTTTACCCCATTTGTGAAGAAGGATGAAGAATGAAACATTAAAGTTTGTTTTGATAAGGATAGTGCCTTTTTAGAAGTTTGTTATGGATTATAGCACAATGTCCCTTGTACTCACCAACAGATTCATCTGCAGCCAGGATGCCTTTGCCATCAGCAACAATGCGTTTGGCAATGTCTGAGAGCTCCTTCTTCTGTTCTGGGGTGAGTGCTGGATAACGGTGGGCCATGGTGGTGGGTCTGGAAGAGAAAAAGAAAGAAAAAAGCGAAATACTAATAGCTGGAAAATGGAGGTATTGGGATCACAGAGACTCAGGGTTGGAAGGGATCTCAGAGACCATCTATTTCCAGCTCAAAATGGAAGTTACAGACATGTAGACATGTGCTCATCATCTTTATCGTTATCATCAACAACAAATGTTTACTATTTCTGTATAGAGAAATCTATACCGGGTGCTGGAGAAGAGAATGAAGTTTTAAGTGAGACCTAGTGGTTCATGTACTCTGTACATCCTGACAACTTGGCTTTGTATTTCTGCAGGGCCTTTCTGGGGAGGAGGAGGCAGGCCAAGCCTTGGAATCAAGTGTCAGTTGCCTAGAAGATTCTTTATTATGAGTAGTTGTCATTTTACTCCCTTAGGGGCTGCACCCTTGAGATGACCAGAGCTATCTTCTCTCAGGTTTAATGAGTAAAATTGTTTCTGGCAGGGTTGTACAAAGACCATTGGACTTGGAGTCAGAAGACAGAGTTACAAGACCTTCATTTAAAAGTTTTGTGAATCTCCTGAGAGCTATTCCAAGAAAATAAATGTCTATTTCATAATCTGGTGGAGCAAAGGTGCCCCAGGTGAAGGGGACTGGATTTGATGAATTTTGGGATCCTTTTCACTTCTAAAATTCTGTAAGTACATCATTAAAAAGTGATGTGGGCAGGACCCTAAACACTTTGTAAACTAGAGAGGTAAATGAATTTCTATATGGCCTACTGGCCATTGAGTGATTTGCAGATCACTCACTCTTCCCAAGACTCTTTGGAAACTTCCATCAGTGTAGACATGGTGACCATTTCCCCCCACATTTTCCAAGACAATCTCAATTTTGAGAAAAGAAAGTATGCTTTAATGAGACTTTTCAAAAAGTATATTCTTTGTTGGACCACATGTCCCAATTTTTGGTTTGAAAATTAGGTATAGCAGTGCTATGACAGCTTGAGGATGTCAGAGAAGAAAGTGGTCAGGATATTTAATTCAGTAAGCATTTATTAAGTGCTTACTATGTACCAGGCACTGTGCTGAATGCTGAGAATAAAAAGGCAAAAAATATATTAATTCTCCTCTTGAAGGACCTTGCTACCAACTCAAGCAACACTCATGGATGTTATAAAAATCTACTATAACTCCTGAAACTTTAAAGATTTTGGTTGGATATAAGGATAATCAATTAATCAACAAGCATTTATTAAGTGCTTATGCAAAGAAAAAAGTGATACAATTCCTGCTGTCAGTGAACTTACATTCTGTTGGGAGATATAAGATGCACATACATACAACATGCTTATATACATACATACATACATGCATGCATACATAAGTATATAGAAAATATATTCAAAACAAATTCAAGGATATTGGGGAGGGGTGTTGTAGTAGCTGGGAGAATCAGAAAAGGCCTCATATAAAAGGTAATGATTGAATTGAGCTTTGAGGGAAATTAGGGTTAAGGAAACTTGATCGGATGATAATAGGCACGAAGGATAGCCAGTGCAAAACATGGAGATGGAAAGAGGGAATGTTAAACAGTAAGAAAGCTGATTTGGCTGGCCTGTAGAAAAGGTAGTAACGTATGATTAGAATGGAAAAAAAGGTGGGGGACTGGGTTCCTAAGGAAAATTATATCGTCTCTATTCCTGAAGAACTTGAAGAAAAAGATGGACAGTCACACATCTTGTATGGTCGAGACATTTCACTTATGTAAACATGGAGAACTGGGGCAGAAGATCTACCCCAGGGCATTTGAATTTAGTTATAAGCTATGATGCTTATATTTAGGAATATTTAGGCTAGAAGTTGCCTGCATACTAATCAGACTTGAAAACCAGGTCTTTGAAAATACCCACTGAGTGATCTTTAACCACAGAGAAAGAACTGAAAGAATCTGTAATAAAAACTGGGCAGCCACTAAACATGATTTTCTGGTGGGCATGGGTTATTTCCATGGATTGCTTTTGTTTTTTTATTTTTGTTTCTCCTCCTGATGATTTCATGGCACTACTAAAAACAAACTTTTTTTCCCCTGAACTTATCTTGCTGGGTTTTAGATAGTATTAAAAAAAAAAAGAACTGGACACAAAAATTAATATAATTCAAAGGAAGATAAAGGGGCTAAAGGTCTGCACTAACATCAGAACAAATATTATCCTTTGTTAATCATATAACAGAGACTCAGGCCAAAGTCCAACCCTGGGAAAGAGGAGGCCCAATAAGGAGGGGTGAAGTTTCCAAAGAAAGATTTCTGAAGCCTCCATCAGTAGCCATGAGACATTTGCATCTGTAATCTCAGGATATCATTTCTTTGAAAATCAGGATGTATGAAATTTGTGTGAGTTAGCCAACATTTACATTTATACCTAGTTTGTGCCAGGCTCTGTCCTAAGTGCTGAGAATAAAAAGAAAGAGGAAAAAAATAGTCCCTGCTCCCAAGGTGCTCATAGTATAATGGGGAAGACAATATACAAACAACTTTGGACTGCAGTAGGGAGCCGCTTGTGGCAGGGAGACCAACCAGGAGATGTGAGGTAATGGGGGTCTGCTCAACAGTGGTGGCTGTGTGGGTGGAAAGAAGAGAATTTGGCCAGAGTTAAGAAGTTGTGGTGGTGGGGAGGGGAGAGAGAAAGAGAGAATGGGGAGTCGAAGATGACACAGGAGGACTCGGTGAGGGGGAGGGAAGATAATGAACTTGGAGTTTGAGATGTCTGCATGATATCAAATTCTAGATATCTATTAGGCTGTTGGAGATGTGAGACTGGAATTTAGGAGAGAGGTTAGGACTGGGAAAACAGATCTGAGAATCATCAGCATAAAGATGATAATTTAATCCATTATTGAATCCATTGGAGCTGATGAGATAACCAACCAAAGTATAGAGGAAGAAGAAGATCCAGGACAGAACCCTGGGGCACACCAGTGTGTGATTTTGTGTAGAGGTGTTAGGATGTGGAGGAAAGTGCCCCGACCTCTGTTATTCCATTCACTTTAGAGATGTTCAGGTCAAATAAAAGGGAGGTTAATGTAGATCCTTGCTTTTTATAGTAAAAATGTAATTTAGAATCACACACATTTGCTAGAAGCCACAAGCCAAAATATGGTGGGGAAAGGAGGAGAATTTGAACAAAACTCCATTTTCAAGTGATAAGAAGCTACAACTCATGAACTCATCATTCTCAGGCTTGTTTTAGCAATTAACTTTATATTATATTATTATTCACATTATTGATACTATTAAAAAAAAACTTGACTTGGAAGGCAGCTTTGGCAATAGAGTTGAATAACAGACTTTCAGAACTCTTTAAGGCAAATATTAAATTATAGAATGGATGTAGCTTGACTACTTACTTCAAAGAGTTCCTATTGATAAGGCACTTTGTAAAATGCTTCAGAAATATGACCTAATATCACAGTGGATTGAGCACCGAGCATGGAGTCAGAAAGACTAATCTTCCTGAGTTCAAATCTGGCCTCAGACATTGTGTTATCCTGGACAAGTGACTTAACCCTGTTTGCCTCAGTTTCCTCATCTGTAAAATGAGCTAGAGAAGGAAATGGGAAACCACTCCAGTGTCTTTGCCAAGAAAACTCCAAAAGGGGTCACGAAGAGTCAGACATGACTGAAAACGACTAAACAACAACATATCTTGTTCAATGCTCTCATTTTACAGATTGGGAAACTGAGGCCCAGAGAGGCAAAGTGATTTACCAAAGGTTACAAAGCTAATCAATAAGTAACAGATCTGGGACTAGAACCCAGGACCTTTGATGTGACAGCCAAATGATTTTCCACCTATGTCACACACATCATCCTAGACTAAAGACCAGGAACATTAGGTTGCTTTTTTCTAATCTACCTATGCCATATTAAAAAAAATCACTTCTCTCCGTATTTCAGTTGCTTATCCATGGAATGGATACTCATGAGATGGATAAAATTGTTCCTTCATCCCAAGCCTTGTCCTCACAGGGCTACTACAAAGATGTTAATAGTCAGCAAAGACGTGTAGTAGAGAAAGAAGGAGAAAACTAGATTTATCAGGACGCTAAAATACAATCAAAAGAAGGAACCTTTCTTTATGTTGGATCTCTTCAGTCTGAGATTCTGAACCTTCTTCATGTTGCTGACTTTTTATGAGTACCTTATACGTTAACCTTTTGCATTTAGTAAGACCTCACAAAACACCCGTTTTTATAGGATTCAAATATAAGGAGGGGAGAATAAAATGAATGTGCCCTGTTAAGATAAGGTCATTTTAGCCTGGTTGGTCATCCCAGTAATATTCAGCAAAATGGCTCAAAACATTATTGCTAGTCTCTAATGCACTTCTGGTTCCACAGTTTGAAATCCAGTAATACCCAGGAACTTGTACTTACTATTTGGTGGAGAGAGTCTTTGAGTGATGTTAGAAGTTCCTGATGAGGAGGCAGCTGCCAAATAGGACGAATCTGGGAGTGTGCAAACGTTTTATAGTGCTCCAAGCAAGGGCCTTTTGTGTTTTGTTTTGTGTGTGTGTGTTTTTTTTAACTTTTGCCCTTTCCTCCTCTCTCAACACAGTGGGGAGGGAGGTGTCTTACTCAGCACTTTCACTTGGCTCATCAACAACCAATCTTGCCAGTCACATTAACAGAAGCCTCATTTAGAATCCTCAAATGTTTGAGTTGGACCTCAGAGGTCATCTAATCCAAAATTCTCATTTTACAGAGGAGGAAACTGAGGTCCACAGAGAGTAAGTAGCTTACTCAAGATCATTGCTAGTTAGGGGTCAGTTCTCCTGACTCTCTATCTCTTGGTCTTTCATCCATACCTCTACTATCATTCTCACTTCTGCATTTTAATTTGTCTCCTGAATTGGCAGCCCCAAAAAACAAACATAACTCCCCCAAGGAATTCAAAATTATGGTCTAATCTTCTGTGCCTCTCTAATGGTACTACTTTCCCAGATGCTGTGCGATGGCTCTTTCTATTGGCTTTGTCTATGAAGGAAGCTAAAATTAGATTAAAGAAAATTTAATTATTTTGTTAGAACCCTTCATACTTCCTTGGACAAGAGGAAAAAGCGGTAGAATGCTATCTCCTACTCAGTGTGTTTTCTGATCCATTTCCTCCCTGATTTTGTATTTGCTCTATGTGTATATATATTTATACAAATGTGTGTGTGTTATGCAATTAAATGTATACGAGTTGTCATTTCCTCTCCCAAATAGAATGTAAAATTTGAAGTCAGTTATTTTTGTCTTTAGTATCACCAGTGTATGGGAATACAAAGCATAAAGTGTCTGACACATAAATTCTCACTGAAATGAATTAAATTAAATTGAATTAGAAAAAATATTGAATTTGTAATCAGGCACCAAACAAAAGAATTCCCTAGGAAGTTTCATTTAAAATTGCTTCTGTGAAACTGATGGATATCTCTCCAATGGAAAGGGGAATAAATTGACATGAAGGCTATAACTTTAGAGATTATGTGGGGTAATAAGCTATTCATGTTAACAAAAGGAAAAGGAAGGTTGAAGCGAGACAGCTTGAGATTTGGAGAGAATTTTCTTGTACAGAGCATTGTTAGATTCTGAAATAGTTTCTTCAGGATTTAACAGAATCTTATTCTCTGGAGGTCTCATATTGATTCTGAATTGTTTGGGACAATTTAGGTTATGGTTTTCTTTGAAGGAGAAGGGAAAACTAGCTGGCTTCTGAAGGTCCCTCCCAAGGTTCCTCTTACTTATCATATTTAGGTAAATCTTAGCCTCTTTTTCTCCTGTCTATGATCCCCCAAATCCAACAAATATTTGCTGAGTAGGTGCTTTGTATATGATGGCCCAATAGGTAAAGGACCTGTGAGATTCTTTAGTTTGGTTGAGAGGTCATATGGTGTAGTGGAAAAAACAGAGGATTGGGGTTCAGAGAACCTGTTCTTAACTCTACCATTTACTGTATATGTGGACAAGTCATTTTGCTTCTCTGTGTTTCTGTTTCCTCATCTGTAAAGTGAGGGGATGAAACTAAATCATTTCTAAGGTCCCTTTTCAGCTTTCAATCATGTGAACTCCTTTGATTAAAGCAGGAGTACTGTGCAGGAAAAAGAAGTGGAGTATGGTGCTGACTGGAGAGTCTATCAGTCAATAAGCAATTATTAAACAATTCCTATGTGCCAGGCATTGTGCTAAATGCTAGGAGTGGGGGATGGTGCTGGGAAACTTTGTCTCGAGCCTATAACCTCACAAGGAAATACTTTGCAAGAAGATGCCAGGCTGTTCCTTTATTAAGCTTTACTAGATGCATTAAGACCAACACAGCAACTGTCATCCCTCAACAATTTATAACCTTGGACTATATTAATGAAGAAAGAACTCTGTGCCTGTGAAAACTTATCTTCTTCCTTCTTTTCAGAGGGGGTATTGTTTCACGTGAACAGCACCCATGCCACACATGTCAGAAGAATGTAAAACTCCCTGCTAGGGCAGTGGCCAGTTCCAAGACCATCCCCTCCAGCTCAAGAACTGTTTGGCAGGATCAGCATTTGAAGAGGTGCCCAAGGCTTGATAGGTAACTAAAACTCAAAGGTCAGAAAAATGATTTTACTCGCTGAACCTTATAGAGCAACACATCCTGGGCAGACACAGCATGTGGAAAGAGAGAGCATGTGAATGGAATAAAATATTACTGTGCTATAAGAAAATATGTGTACAATGAATGCAGAGAAGTATGGAAAGATCTACATTTACTGATGCAGAGTGAAGGGAACAAAGTCAAGAAAACAACATATACAATGACTACAACAATGTAAACAGAAAAAAGCAACCACACACCACAAAAGTAAATATAACAAAATTATAAAGATTCAACAGTATTCAAATGAAGAGATATGAGAAGACATTCCCTAACCCAGCCCTGTATAGAAGTGAGATGTCCCTACTTTTTTATTTTTTGGTAAGGCAATCAGGGTTAAATGACTTGCCCAGGGTCACACAGCTTTAAGTTTCAAGTGTCTGAGGCCTAATTTGAACTCAGGTCCTCTTGACTTCAAGGCCAGAGCTCTATCTACTGCACCACCTAGCTGCCCCCCCTTTTTTTCTTTCTAAACAATAGTATTTGTTATATGGGATGGCTTTCTGGGAGAGGGAGGGATACTTGGGATAACTGTGATGATGTAAGAAAAGAAGATATTGATAAAAATTTATTTTTAAAAAATGAAGGTGAGAGAGAGAGGTGTGGGGCGGGGAAAGAGAGAGGATTTCCTAACTCAGACAAAGAAAGTTCTAAAATGAGCAATTATGAATTCAAAATTCAGCTTTAATCCAGAGATTCTTAACCTTTTTGTTTAGCAATTTGGTAAAGCCCAAGAACACTTTCTCAGAATAATGGTTTGTTGTCTATATTCATAATTTAAGAAAGTGCTAAATTTCAGTTAGAAGTTAATGAAAATAAAGGTGTATTTTTTTCCCTCATCTAAGACCAGGGACTATTTGAAATCTACCCATAGACTATCACACCCTCTCCCCTCCCCACTCTCTGGGTTCATGGACCCAGGTTGAGAACTCCTGCTTTAGAACCTTCCATTTCCAAAGGTAAATTCATAAGATTATACATGACCATTACTTTTCTAGCCTCTTTGCCAATATCCCTATCTTAAACCCGCCCTATACCCTCGATAGCCATAATTTCTGATTCTAATTATTGTGTACATCAACTAAGAAGACAAGATGCATATTTTTAATAACCTCTATTGGGTCCAGCTGACATATCTCAATACACATGGGTCTTTTTGAGCACAAGCTATGGGCAAGTAATGAGAAAGGAACTAATATGTAAAAAGAGGCTATTGCTATAATGACTTTCAACACTGAGATTCTGTTTTTTGGTGACTGACTCAGCTATGGCAATTAAAATGGTGTTTTCCCATCCATCATCAACTGGGCAGAAATTGTCTGAATCAGTCATGTGACAAAGCAACTAGCCCAGTGCCTGGCATATGGTTGGAACTTAATGAACACTTATTCAGTTGGACTGAATTTGATCACAAAACCTCAAAGTTAGAAAGTACTTCTCAGAGGCCATTTTGTCCAATCCATACCTGAAAATGAATTCCTTCTACAAGACACATGACAGGTGGTCATGTCATCTTTGGCTGAAAGTCTTCAAAGAAGGGAGGCCACTATGAGGCATCTCATTCCATATTGGATAGCTCAAACTGGAAGTAAATTTTTCATTTTATCAAGCATAAATTTGTCTCTTTGTAAATTCTACCTATTGCTACTAGTTCTATCCCCTTATACAAAGCAGAAGAAGACTAATCCTTTTTTCATATGGTAGCCAGCTCTTCAAGTACTTGAAGGGAGTTTTAACCAGGGGTGTGCAGGAGCCAGCTCATAGTGGCTCTTGGGAGAGGCAATTATTAAATTTTCAGTGCTAATATTTGTGCTCAGGAAATTTGTGGCAAAATCAGGACTTCACTTATTGTTTTGTTGATTGTATACACTTAAGAAAGTTATAAAGAAAATGTTAATAATGCAGATTAAATTTAAAAGTTTTTTTTTCCTGGCAAGTTGGTTGTTAAATAGTTATCTGAACATTTTCCATTCATGAGTTGTTCACTGGAGTGGTGAAAATCATCACACCATTATCTTTACCTCTGGTCACATAGGTATGGCTAGAGAGATACAGGGGTCGTATCTACATAGGTCAAGAGAAAAATAGGGTATTAAATTTGAAAGATGGAGTAGAAAGATGCCTGGATTGGGAGTCAAGGGATCTAGGTTCTCTTCTGAGCTCTGCCATAAACTGAGTATGTGGCCATAGAAGAGCCACTTCTGTTCTCTGAGCCACAGTTTCCTTACCTGTAAAATGGAAGAGGTAGGGAAGTAGAGTAGATGAACACTGAGCTCCAAGCTCTTAGTTCTAAAATACAATTTCTATAGAACTTTTCATTTGTATAGTGATTTCACATAAAGTTTCTCATTCAATCATTCTGATAGAGATGTGATTTTCATTCCTGGCAAAGGCAGAATACAAGACAGAATGGCTAGAGTAGAAATAGAGGTCTTGAAGGAAAGGAAAACAGGATGTGAAACAGGAGGGATATTATGGTCAGGACAGTGATGGGGAATGGGGGTCAAGCTGGAAGGGGCTATAGGTAGGAGTAGGAGGGCTGGGAAGAAAAGACTGGAAGGAGAAAACAATTCACATTTGCAAGATAAAGGAGTTTGTGTTGTGTGTGTGTGTGTGTATGTTGTGTTGTTATTGTTGCTGCTGTTGCTTTGCCTGTTCATATTTTATAGACTATTAGGGCTGAAAAATACCTCGGAGATTAGCTTGTTCAATCCTCTCTTGCTTCTTTTTACTGTAATTTGAAAATTAACTATATTTGAAAATATATATGTTATGTATATGTATATACATACACACATACATGTACATATACATCACATATATACATATGCATATGTATATTTAACCTGATGGCCA